AAAAAAAAAAAGCTGACTGGGGAAGTAGGTGGCCTCTTCATTAGAATAATTCCCAGAACACAAGAGCAGAACAATTCCCAAAGCCCTGCACATGGACTTCTCGTGAGAACTGAAGCAGGTTTTCCACAGCATCGCTTAGACCAAGCCAGCCTGAGGAATGGGTCATTACAAAAAGGACAGACCACGTTGAATTTTTGCCACTGTATTCACTCTTCCACAGTGACCTGCCCTCATGCTGTAGGGTGTACTTCTTTTCTTACTTTTACTTGGCCCAAACTTGCTAGGCAGAGTTGGTTTCTTTTCCTACCTTTAGTAAAACTTTGCTACCCTTTGACTTGTCTTAATTCTTTGCTCAAGACAGAAAGAGCCTAGAAACCAGAGACTCCAGCACTCCAAATCCCACACAGAAGCTGAGAGGCCTTGATCAATTTCACTCATCTTTGTGAAAACAGTAGAACTAAGATTACTGTTGCTTAAACATAACAGAGACAGTGTTCTGATCTTATCGATGACTTCCCTTTGGGGGAATGTGCCAATATACCCTAAATATTATGTCAGCTCTAAATAGTAACAGTGAATGAATTTATACAAATAAATCAGGAGGTAACGCTGGGAGTGAGGCTCAGTGGAAGAGCACTTGCCTAGCTGGGTTTGAGCCCCAACATTGTTAATAAGTGACTGAAAGATCAAATGTAGCTGGTTGCCAAAAGGGAAAGAAATTTTCACCTCTTTTTTTCTTTTCAACAGGATGTATTTGAGAAAAACCTCCTCTGTGTCTTTGATTCATTTTCAAACCATTTAAAGACCTATACAAGTGTCTTGCTGGGCGTGGTGGTGCACACTTGTAATCCCAGCACTTGGGGGGCTGAGGCTGGAGGATCGATGCAAGTTTGAGGCCAGCCTGAGCTACATAGTGAGCTGAAGGCCAGCCTGAACTACACAGTAAAACTGTCTCAAAAACAAACAGCTATACAAGCGTCTTGCCGACATTAGAAATCAGGAATGTTTTTCTGAAATTAGTTCTCCGAATGATAAGCCTCAGGGGAGAGTAGCACCCCTCTTTTCCTGTGGTCTTGGAGTTTTGCCCTGGCACCTTGCTCTCGACTGTAGCCGCTTGCTTGTCACACAGTGAATTTCTGCTTTTCCTCTGGATAAAGATAATGAATCAGCATTGACAATCACCTCGATGGCCAGGTGATTTCTGGAGGAGCCACGTATAATGCAGAGCCAATGGCAGTCTAGTGCTTTCACCCGGGACCAGCTGCCCTTTAACCTTAACGCCGGGTGCTCAGACACAGGTGAGGTTTCTCTCTTGTGGCTGCCTTAGTGGTTCACATGTGATTTGGCACCAGTCTTGCTTGGTGCTTATTTCACAATGAAACTTTTCTGCACTGTCTACATCTTTGAAAAAGATTTCTTGACTTGGCAGCCTATAGTATGCTATAATTTCTTATTCTTTTTCATCTTTGAAAAGCACCATGCATTAAGGGAACCGTCTGCTAGTATTTCCGGTAAGGGAACATGATATACTCTCCTTCAGTCAGTTCCTCAGAATCTGGGTTTTTGTTTCTTTTTTCTGGTACCGGAGATCGAACTTGGGACTTTGCGCTTGCGAAGCAGGCGACGGAACCACTGAGCTAAATCCCCGGCCCTAGGACCTGGGTTCTAACCATAGGGTCCTAGGCCTGAAGAGGACTTGAGCTTCAGGATGCAGCGGCACAGCGGTTTCCAGAGAGCAAGGGGCTGGAGAGAAATGCAAACGAATGCAGAGTTCGGGCGACCGTTGCGCACATTCTACCACCTCTTTTCTGCTAGACCACATAAAAGTCCTGCTACTGCTCCCTAAGTCTGGGGCTTTTGGTAAATTCTGGGACGTGAACTTCCAGTGCGCTTCTGCGCATGTGCACTTTGCTCGTTTGTGCGCCTCCACGCATGCGCACCGTCTCCGGTTTGCCCTCGCTTCCGGTGCTTCCCAAGTGCCCGCTCCTGTGGCCTTTGGCCTTCGTAGGCGCATTCACGGAGCCTGTGGGGCCAGGGACACCGGCGGGGCGGCACCAGGAAGGCGCGAGCGGTGCGACTCAGGGCCTCCGCTGCTGGGCGGAGGCTGGAGTGGGACCGAAGCGCGATCGCCGAGCCCGTGGTGGAGGCCGGAGGGGCCGGGCGGGCGGCGGCGGGACCTGGTGCAGCTTGGGGCGACCTCGGCGGCCAGGCCGTCGCTGCGGGACGGTGAGTCCTGGGCGCCAAATTGGGGCCCCGACCTGAGCCCTCAGAGCAGCTGGAGCCTGCGAGGGGATGAAGGCAGTGTCGTCAGCTCCACCCGGAACCCTCGGGAACAGCGCGGCGGAGGCTCTGGAGCCCCGGCCTGAGGATTCGGAAGGGGGGGGGGCGCCGCCTCCAGGCGAGGTCGGGAGCGCGTGGGCCGAGGGGGCTGTGGAAGGCTCCCGGGAGAGACGGCCGGTCGGGGGAGCGCAGGCTGGCTGCTCAGGCCGAGGCGCTTCTCAGGAGGATCTGGGGGTACGAGGTGTGCGGGAGAGGGGGCGTCCCCAGCCTTAGCTGCGGGCGTCGGTCTGCATCCCGCCCGCCGCACCCTGAGACCCCTTGTGTACTGGCCGCTCCAGATTCTCCCAAGTGCCTGTGGGCGTCCGTCAGCCCCCTGCTGTCAGTCCGCTGAGTCCCCTCAGATGTGCCCTTGTAGAGTCAGTGTAGCGCTGGACAGGTCTCTTGTTGCATCGGTTGGTAGAGGAAGAGGTTGAGCCTCAGCAGGTGGTCTTCTGGGTAGGGTTGCTGATGGCTCTCAAACTCCCAGGCCAGTGTTCTGTCCACTCTATTCCGGTTTTTACGTACAGCAGTCACCTCTTTCAGTCAGATCATTTAAAAACAAAATAATCCCTATGCCTATGCACATTTAAAAACAAAACAGTGCCTCTGAGCGCTGAAATGCTGAATTGCTATGGCTGCATCGAGTTTTAAGCAATTTAAAGATACACTAGAGGGCCGGGGATTTAGCTCAGTGGTTCCGCCACCTGCCTTGAAAGCACAGGTACCCCCGAGTTCGATCCCCGGTACAAAAAACCCCACAAAAACCAGGAAAATATGTGAGTAGCTTGGTGGGTGGTGATTTTTTTTGTTTTCCTTTCCTTTTCTCTCTTTCTCCATCCACCTTTGCCTCCTTCCCTCCCTCCCTTCCTTCCTTCCCTTCCTCCTTTTCTGTCTTGTTTCTGTCCTTTTGTATTAAATGGGGGCCAAAGGAGAAAGCAATGGTTGTGTTCACCATTGAGATTCCAACCCTTCGAATCAGCATGTGAATGTATTGGTATGAACAATGTGTGCTTCTTCCCTGTCACCCATTTCGCTCCTTGACAGTTTCCAATGGGTGTGATTTCATTTGGTGGTTCTGTTGCAGGAGATTCCTGCCTGTGGCTGCCAGGTAACTGCGGACCTCAGTGACCTTTTCCTCCTCAAGGTCCACCAGCAAGTCACTCACTTTCCTGAGAACAGCTGAAAATGTACAGACTGCAGGTGAGTTTCCTGGCTGTGTCTGTTTACTCCCTCATGCCTGTTCTTCAGGAGTCATGAGTTTTCTAAAGATCTGACTTTAAAATGGAAATGCAGGAGTGGATAAAAGACATTATCATGTAAAATGCAGTTAGAGTGGCAGATGAACCTTGAGGTTGTTTTTTTTTTTTTTTTTTTTTACCAAGGTCTGTCTTTCTTCTTGACATAGCAAACGGAAAATAATATTCATTATTGCAAATAATGAAACTTTGCATTGACTGTTGGAAGAAACCATTTCCTGAGTGTGTGGCCTAGGCCAGTAATATCTAGTGTTCGAGGAGGCTGAAGCAGGAGGATTGGGAAGTTCAGATCCAGAGTGAGCAATTTAGCTAGACCCTGTCTCGAAATAAAAATGGGGATAGCGCTGGGCATAGAGCTCTGTGGGAATTTCCTGGGTATAATCCCAGTGCCCCCCGCCTTACAAAAGGAGGAACTGTTTTTGTTACTCTTGTGTTTTAAAAATTTCCTAGAAAAAAATTATCTATTGAAGTTGATGTAAAAATTGGGATAGCTTTCCCAGTATCTGAAATCCATAGATCATTGCAGTGTATGACGTTCTTGTTGTGAATCTAAGGGTGGGTTAGCTGCCCCCAGAAGAGCTTGGTACATACCATTTTTCCAGTTACCAAAATGTTGTGAACAAAATAGACATTTTTGGGAGGAGGCAGGGTCTCACTGTGTAGTTTAGACAGATTTTTTTTTTTTTTTGGTACTGGGATCAACTCCGGACCTTGCACTTGCAAGGCAGGTGGAGGCACCACTGAGCTAAATCTTACCCTGCCAAATTTAGACTGATCTTGAACTATGTAGCCCAGGCTGGCCTTCAGCTTGTGGAGATCCTCTTGCCTCAGTCTCCCTAGTGCTGGGGTTACAGCTTGCACCACCATGCTTGGCTAGTACCATCCTTTCTAAATATATACTTAGTATTTGAAGTTTCTATTTTCTAAAATTTGGGAATATGTTCGTTTCTGTCAGGTTATAAATAGTTTCACAGTTGGTTAACCATAGTAGCCCAAATATGTCCTTGTGTTAATATTTTGCCCCCCTCCCCTTTGATCTTCCTTTGTAAGGTACAGGGGATTGAGTCTAGGACCTTTGCACTGAGATACATCCCCAGCCCTGTTTTTAGTTTCTGTTTTGAGACAGGGTCTCACTGAGTCTCTAGGCTACCTATGCTAGGGTCGAGCTTGTGATCTTCCTGCCTCAGCTTCCTGCCTCAGCTTCCCAGAGTGTTGGAATTACAGACCCAGCCTACCCATTTTGTTTTGTTTTTTGAGACAGGGTTTCACTATGTAGCTCAGGCTGGCCTTGAACTCACTATAAATCCAAGGCTGCCCTCAAACTCGCAGTGATCCTCCTGCCTTGGCTCTCAAGTTCCCTATCAGTTATTTATTTATTTTGGTACCAGGGATCGAACTCGGGTCCTTGCACTTGGGTCCTTGCGCTTGCGCAGCAGGCAGAGAAACCACTGAGCTAAATCCCCGGCCCCTATGAGTTATTTTTGGAGAAACTAATATGCATATCTTTCATTTCTCAGTTTGGAATGTGCTGGCATCATTTTAACTTTTTTTTTTTTTTTTTAACTTCAGGTATGCCTTGTAAAATTGGTTGTCCAGTCCATAAATTTAATTAGATTTATGTTCAGTTCCTTTGTCAAGACTGTTGTACGTGACATTTGCGCATTTTCTTCTAGGGAAACATATTTCTGTATTCTGTATGAATACATAGTTTTTGTGGATGATTATTGTAGTGATCCCTTGATCCACAAGGGGAGGTAGAGTAGTAACAGTGTGGAAGTAATTACTATTTCTTCTTCATTTACTTACTGGAATAAATGCCTAAAAGTATACTCCATTTTGGTTGTATGGTTCACACTGGAAAGACAGTTTTCAAAATGTCAAGTAGGTGGACCGGGGATATAGCTCAGTGGCACTGCACCTGCCTGGCAAGCACAAGATCCTGAGTTCGATCCCTCGTACTGAAAAAAAAACAACTGCAATGTCAAGTAGGGTTCTTTCTTTTGGAGACAGGGTCTGGCTATGTAGCCTAGGCTGGCCTGGAACTCACAGCAGTCCTCCAGCCTCAGCCTCCTGAGTGCTGGGATTACAGTCATGTGCCACCACACCTGGCTCCAGTAGGTTTTTGAGCAACTTGGTTTTTTGTTTTATTGTGCACCCATGAGCTTCAAAATTTTTCATGTATCTTAGAACACTGAAGTTGTGATTCTTCTTGATATTTAACTGGTTCCATCTTTGGCCAGGGGAATCCCTTTAAGTTGGATTCTGAGTCCTTTTGAAACACTTCTATTTGGTAGCACTCATTTTTTTTAACATTTTGTTTTGAAATAATTTCAGATTTATAGAAAAGTTGCAAAGTATCTTACCTAGAAATCTCATTTTTCTTTTGCCCAGATTCTCCAGTTCTGAACATTTTGCCATATTTTCTTTATAATCATGTGTCTATAAATGCATGCACATCTACACACATATTCTTTCCCTGATTGATTTGAGAGTGGCTGTTACATGGAGTGCCACTTTACCTGTTATGTTTCAGGTTGTACCTACTACCGTCAAGAGTATTCTCTTACATATCTATTGACAGGAAATTTTAAATTGATACAGTACTTGAAATGACAGTTCATTTTCCAGTTTCCCAGTAATTTCTCTTCTTGTGATCTCTTTACTTCTTACAAAAGATTCAGTCCAGGATTGTGAATTGCACTTAGCTGTTACCTTTTTTTAAGTCTGCTTAATGTGAAATACTTTCTCAATGTCATTATACTATTTGAAGAATGTAGGATTTTGTTTTGTTTTGTTTTTGGCTTTTTGAGACAGGGTCTCACTATGTAGTTCAGGTTGGCCTTGAATTCACTGCATAGCCCACGCTGCCCTCCAACTTGAGATAATCCTCCTGCCTCAGCCTCCTGAGTACTGGGATTACAGGTGTATGCCACCATGCCTGGCCTTTGGGGAGATTTTGACCATTAGTTCTTCAACCACCCCTATACCCCAACTTCATTTGTTCCTGTTTCCTGTATATTAGGCTGCTTGCAATTGACCCATAGCTCACTGGTGCTCTTCACTTTCAGTGATCTTTTCTTCCAGTTTCATTTAAGGTGGCCCCCTTTGCAGCATCTTCACACTCAGTGATTTTTTTTTCTCCTTTCTGCAGTGCCATCAGTTTTACCCAGTAAATTTTCATCTCAGATATTAGACTTTTTCCTGAGGAAGTTCAGTTTGAAACTTTTTCCTTCTTGCCTGACTCTATGCCAGTATTTTGGACTTGGGGAATACAGTCGCAGACTTTCAGTGTTGTCTGTTAACTATGTCCATTCTTAACCAGTTTCACTTGATTGATTATTTTCTTCCTTGTGGGTCATATTTTCTGTCCTATTTTCCCCAAACTCTCAGCAATTTCTCCTCACCTCTGTCCCTTGTTCATGGCCTGGAAACTCTTGGGCAGTAGCTGTGGGGCTAACCTAGTTTCCTGTCTCTCACAGGTTACTGGCTTTCACTGCCTGATGGTTAGTGTTCTTTTTTTTTTGGTACCGGGGATCAAACCTGGGTCCTTGCGCTTCAGGGCAGGCAGCAGAACCACTGAGCTAAATCCCTGGCCATGGTTAGCGTTCTTGAAAACCAATTCTTTGTGTGTTTTGTTTGGGGTGTGTGTGTGTGTGTGTGTGTGTGTGTGTGTGTGTGTGTGTGTGTTGGTCATGACAAAGCAGAAGTTTCTAACGTCTCTATACAGTGGTACCTCAGTTCATGAACTTATTTTGTTCCACAATTCTAGAAAAGATGGCCATGTTTGTGTTCGTGGAGGAAAGATGGCCACGGTTGGGTTTGTCACTTCATGTACAGTTTGCAAACAAAAATAAAATTTTGCCAAACACTTTTGTTTGTGAACCGCATTGTTTGCAAACAAAAGTGTTCATGAACCAAGGTACCACTGTATTTTATATCTGAGAGTCATGGTTGGAAAGCCTTTCCTCACAGCAAGCTTGTGGAGATAACCCCCTGTTTTTTTCTGTGTGGTTGGACTTTTCACATTTAGATCACTGGTCCAGGTGGAGTTGATTCTTTTGGGGTATAAGGTATGGATGCAGTTTTGTACCTATTCAGGTTTTATCACTTGCTCTTGCAGCATTGGTATTAGCTTTGCCTTACAACAACATACCAGAGGCAGCAAATATAAAGTGGAAAGGTTTGTTTAGCTCGCAGTTTAGGAAGTTGAAGGATGTGATACTGACAGTAGCTCTGTTCCTGACTGCTTGTGCATGTGTGTGAGAGCTTATATCACCAAACAGGAAGTCAGAGGCATTGGTGTTCCACACTCCCTTCTTTTGGTTTTGTTTTTTTTGGTTTTTTAGGTTTTGTGAGATAGGGTCTTAGTATGTAGTTCAGGTTGGCCTTGAACTCACTCTAGGCTGGCCTCAAAGTCATTGAGATCCTCCTGCCTCCCCTTCCTGAGTGCTGGGATTATAGGTTGTGCCACCGTACCAGCTCCCCCAGTCCCTTCTGAGGGCACACTCCCAGTGATCTAAGGACCCTTCACTAGGTCCCACCTCTCAACCGTGCCACCATCTCCTAACAGTGCCATCCTGGGGACCAAGGCTTCAATCCCAGTGGACTCTAGGGCGCCGCTTAGGTCACACCCAAAACATAACACCGTTTACTGAAAGTCAGCTCTGCCTTAGTGATTTGAGATGTCTCCATCATCATAGAACCCTAAAAGTCTATTTCTAGATTCACCATCTTGTCTGCGTTTGTGCACCAGTACTGAATTTCTTTCCTTATTTTTGAGGGGGAGTGCTGAAATTGAACATAGAGTCTGACACTTGTAAGTGACTTAGGGTAACTGATATCTTTGTGTTATTAAGCTGATCTACCCAAGAGCAAGGAACGTTACAATTGTTTGTGTTTATTTCTATGACTTTGTGTATTTTATTTTCTTCTTTTCTTTTTTTT